ACGCAAAAGGTAACATCTGTCCCCCCTCCATTTCCCCCATCGCATCATCGGGTGCAGGGTTGCGTGGCCACAGGGCGCTGAGCAGGCTGCCATGGCGGCCGCAGACGAGGGCGAGCAGCCCCGAGATGAGGAGCCGGCGAAGAAGAAGAGCAGGAACCTCCCGCCGCACATGCAGGTGAAGGCCGTCGTCGACAAGTGGCAGCTTGGCTGGACTCCACAGACGCAGGCATGGGTGGTCAATCGAGCACGGTTCGAGATCTCACTGATCGATCACGTTGCGACCGTCGCCATCGGAATACATTCGGTCCGTTTTGGACGAAGTTGCATTGATAACTCCGTCCAGACACGTCGGCCACATACGGCCATTCGGATTCACATGCAATTTCACATGCATTTGAAATTGCGTGTGATTCTACTCCGATGGCGACGCTCACGGCGCGATCCCGATCGGTGCAACCTCGAATCACCATGCTCGGTCGCCTCCCAGCAAGGCTGCTTGGCGCGCCATGGAGGGTGAGCTTGTTCCTGAGTATGCCCGCGCATGCCGCGTCCCTAATGAGCCGCTCTTGGTTGCGAAGTGGGGCGATGGATTCACGTGGAAGGTCCCCGACACGGAGGACGTCGCGCCGCTGGAGGAGCCCATCGCTTCCGCGAAGGGGAGGAACATCTTTTTCTCGAAGGAGAAGGGCGACAACACCGTGAAGGTGCAGCTCGTCAACAAGGGGGCTAAGTCCTGGCTCGTCTTGTGGGAGGGCGGCGCGCAGCGGGTCCAACTACTGGGCTATCCAGCGGAGAAGCTCGAGGACGCGAAGAAGTTTCTCATCGCGCAGGCCGAGAAGTTCGTGCGCAACACGGCGGACAAGCTCTCCATCGAACAGGCGAAGGAGAAGTGGCTCAGCTCGATCGGCGTCGTGAAGCACAAGGGGGGGGGGAAGGCCAAGAAGAGGCCAGCGGCATCGAAGGCTGCCATCCAGGCAGCCGCGGACGCGGAGCAGCCGCGCGAGGACGGCGAGCCCCCAGAGGACGGAGAGGACGCCAAGGGCGAGGATGATGACGAGGCGGAGGAGGATGAGGATGGCGCCGAGGCAGATGAGGGGGAGCCAGAGGAGGCCGACGTTGGCGGCCAGGAGAACGCGTCCGATGAGGACGAGGGCGTGGTCGCGAAGAAGAGGCCCGCTGCCGGGCGCAGGCCAGGATCGGCAGACGAGGCGCCGATCGGCAAGCCAGCGGCGGCGGAGGCGCCCGACAGCACGCAGCGCGGGCCTGCTACGGCGTCGCCTCGCGCCGCCGCCTGCCCGACGACGCCAGTTGTCGCCCCCGCGTCGGCGGCGCTGGCCAGCCCGCCCGAGAAGATCCCCATCCCGAAGGTAGCTGCCGACCACGCCGCCGAGGACGCTCGCCCGAAGAAGGCGACGTCGAAGGGGGCGGCGAAGACGAAGGGGGATGCGGCCGCGCAGAGCAAGGCGCCTTCGACGGCCAGCGCAGCTCCAGCAGGCCCACAGGCCACTGGGAGTGAGGTCGCGCCGCCAGCGAGCAGCAGCGGCCATGCAGCGGCATCGGCGCCAGCTGGCTTGCCGCCGATTCCCGAGGATTTGTTTGGGTTTTGAGCTGCTGTACTGCATAATAGGACTGCGAGTGCACTGGGCTGTGACAAGTGCGCTCTCTAGCTAGCGAGAGCTACTGCAAGCAATGTGCATCGTGATCGCGAGCACCGTCAATCTCCTCCTCATCGTCCTCACCTCCCTCATCCTCCTCAACATCGCCCTTATCATCATGGTCCCGCCCCTCCTTCTGATCAGAGCCCCCCTCCTCCCACTCCTGCCCCTCACGTTAGAATCCGCTGCGCCGCGACATGGGGTCTAGCTTCTCACGACATGCAACCGTGCATTCGTCATTATTATCAGATCCGTGCTCGCCCGACAATCCCTCCCTGTCTGTCCGCCGCCCTCCCCCGCGCTCCGCGGATTCGCTCTCCCTAACCCTTCCTCCCCTCCTCGTCCCCCTCCTGACCCTCATCCCCTCTCCCCTCCTTCCCTTACCCCTTGTCTTGACCTCCCTTGCATTCGCGTCCCGCCTCCTCCTCCTCCTCATCATCATCATCTCCCTCTTCCTCCTCTTGCTTCCCGAGGCCTTCTCGCTCGTCTGCGTCGTGCGCGTTCGTTTCCTCGTGATCCTCGTGAATCGTCCCCTCCCCGACGCGGGCCTGTCTCGTCGAGGTCGGGGCCCATCGAATCCGCTGGCCCTCCGCCGACGGTGGGCGACTTCGTCGAGCGATGCGGGCCCTCGCGACGATTCGACGATAGGGGGTCGGCGCGGCAAGTCTGGCACGGCAGAGGCATGGCTGAGGATGCAGGAGGAGCATGGGAAGAAGGGTAGATAGGGGCAGCGGCGAGCAATACGGGGAAGGAGTGGGTGGCTGGACGGCGGGGTGTAGACGCGGCGAGAGAGAAGGGGAATGGTTGATGGGGCGATCGGGCGAGCGGAGGGAGGAGGGGCCGGGCGAGCGGGAGAGAGCTGGAGGGACGGAGGGCTGAGATATTGAGAGACGGAGGGAGGGGTGCGTGGGAGTTGGAAGGACAGTGTGATAAAAGCCGATCTACAGGCGGCCACCGACACTTCCGAAGTGGACGAGCTCGAAGTCGACCGCACGTTCAGGGACCTCTTCGGCCGCGAGGAGTACAAGGGCCTCATGGCAGAGAAGGGCCGCGCGGACTTGCGCGCGACCATGCAGGACCTCATGAGTGACATCTCCGAGACGGGCCACGTCATGGACCCGGTCAAGTGGGGCATCCCCGTGGACGGGGCGCAGGCGGCGGCTGGCGGCCGCAGTGGCGTTGGCAGCGCTGACGGGGTGGCTGGCAGGAACCTCGCCACGGTGTCCGAAGAGCTCGCCTTCTGGCAGGAGGTGGCAAACGGGGACTTCAAGGTCCCCACGGACGCCCGCCTCTCGGCGGTCGCTGGCCGCTGGCAACGTGCCCTAGCAGCGGACCCACAAATGAAGGCTGGATACAATAGCATAACGGGGGAAAAGAAGTGTGAGCGGCGCGACCAGTTCAGGCGGGACTGGGCGCAGAAGAAGTTTGCCGCGGCGAAGGAGATCTGGTAATAAAGTAATGTAGTAGGCCAGTCTGTTGTCGATATCCGACGAGTTGGTTTCACGCGCGAATTCGTTTGCATGCGATTTCGCATGTGAACCCGCTGATCACACAACTGGCACTGACCGTGATTCGAGGGCCCGTCGACCGATAACGAGTGCGAACGGGCGAACCAGAACCAGTCATAAAACGTTATCGTCCGCTCCCTCAGGAGATGGCCTCCCGCGCCAGGGAGATCAAGCGCTCCGAGTGGGCGCATGGGGGGTGCTTCCCCCTCGGCCGGGTCGCCGTGGAGGAGGGCGGCGGCGTCCTCGGGTGGCGCCAGGCCCGCGGCGCCAATTGCCGACACGACGTGGTGTAGACGAGGATGATGTGATGATGATGGTGGTGAAATGGAGGACGAGGATGAGGATAAGAGGATGATGAGGCGGAGGAGGAGGAGTATGAGGAAGAGGAGAAGGAGGAGGAACGGAGGGCGAGGGACAGGGGAGGGGGAAGGGGTGAGCATGATAGAGAGGACGTGGAGGTGGATGTCGCGGAAGTGGAAGGGGATATGACGGGGGGGGCGGAGTTGGAGAGGATATTGAAGAGAATGCGGAGGACGACGATGGTGAGGATAGTCCGAGCAAGAGCTGCGTGGGTGTCTCGTCGCCCCCCCCCTCGCGAGGCGGTGCGGATGTTCTCGAAATGCATGATGATGGGCCCCCCGTGGATCATGTGCGATCCCCTTCACAGAGGCGCTCCGCGCCCTCTACGTGAAGATCGCGCGGAGCTCGGATCCGCCACCCGCTCGCGCGGGCAATAGGCATCGGGTCTGCTCCCAGGAGATGGGAAGGTGAACGAGGAATGAGATCAGGAGGAGTGGAGGAGGGGAAGGGAACGTCAGGCCTGACCAGGGAAACTGTTGCTCAGAGGGGGTGGGCGAGGGCAGAGGCGGATGAGCAGGGTCGGGAGGCTTGGTCAGGCGACTGGTGGGTCGGATCCCATTGGCCGACTCTGATCGATGACAGACGATCGTCGATCAGGGCGCTCGATTCTGGTTGCGGGGCGGCACCCGAGGGCTTCAGTCGCTACTTCAACGAGGCCTGGACATTGCACGAGCAATGGGAGCAGCAGGACACAGCCGAAGGGGAACCGTCCCGTTACCCTGCTCTACCTCCACTCTCGCACACCTCCGCTACGCTCGCGCCCGTCCTCGTCTTGCTTTCGGCTTGCCCTTTCCCATTGCTCTTCCTCCTGCTCCTCCTGCTCCTCCTCTTCTTCCTCCGCCGCTCCCTCCTCCTCCTCGTCCTCCTCCTCCTCCTCCTCCTCCTCCTTCTCATGCTTCTGCGCGCCGCCCCCGCCCTCTCCAACTTAAGATGTGTCGCAAGCCTTTCTCTATCTTCCCAGTGCCCCCCGCTCTCCTCCGACTCGAGCCGATCGCTCCTCGTCGAGGGGACAGCTCGGCGGCAGCGGTCAGCGCTGGCGCGGCGGCGGCGGCCAGCGCTGCGCAGGCAGCGCTCGCGGCGCCAACGGGGGGCACCGCGGCGCCAGCGGGTGGCGCCTCTCCGCCAGAGGCTGGCGCCGCTGAGGCAGCGCTGGTGGATGAGCAGGGCGGCGCGTCGTCGGCCGCCGCGAGCGCGGGCAAGGGCAGGGCCACTGGCAAGGGCACCAAGCGCAGCAAGGGCGCGCAGGGCGAGGCAGGCGACGGCGCCGCCGTCGTGGACCCGCCGAAGGACTCAGGGGTGCTGCGGAGGAAATGGCGGGGCGGGGGATGAGGTGGACGCCGAATGGAGGATGTGTAATATACGGTGGCGGAGGGGAAATGAGATGATGAGGAGGATGAGGATACGACGGAGGGAGGGGGCGTGGACGATGCATGGACTAGCGGGCGGGGTATCGATTATTGAGCGCACCCGCCCCAAGGAGACGGCCGCGCAGAAGCGCGCCCGCCTCAAGAGGGAGCAGCAGGGCGCGGCTGCGTCGTCAGGCGACGCCGTCGCCGACGAGAAGAAGACGGCCGCGAAGTTGGCGAAGGATGGCAAGGACGCCCTGCAGCGCTACTCGAACACCACCAGGCAGGCGAACCACATGGTGATGAACGTGGAGAAGCAGCCGACGTGGGCCTGGGCTTCCAGGGGCCAGGAGTTCATCGACATGAAGGAGCTGCTCACCAAGATCACACACGACGTAATGACGAGCACGTTGCTGAGCTCTGCCGTCTCCGTGGATTGGCCGAAGCTGAAGGCGGCGGTGGGCGCGGGCAACTACAAGACGGTCCTGACCTCGCTGGTGGGGCTCACCCCCGACCTTTCGAAGATCGACGGGCACCTGGAGATCCTCCTCGGCAGCTACGAGCTTCGCCCGCAGCGCGAGGCAGAGCGGCTCAAGCAGTTGCAGAGCTCGTAGGAGGTCTGCCACGGGGTGGGCTCCGTACACCGCTGCATTCGCAGCGGGCCGCTTCGCGCCTGTTCGCATGCCAGCCCGATCGCACGGTCATCCTCACTATTGTGATGGCCGATCTGGGGCGAACGCAGTTTTTCTTTGGGGTGCTGGCCCTCAGGAGCCCCTCAGAAGCCATATAGCCATGCGGCGGGTGCGAGCACCTGTCGGCCAGCGATTTCCAGTGATATTGGGTCGGGTGGGGCAGTAACCGGCTGCTCCACGAAAAATCATGCGTGTGAAATGCGTGTGAAATGCATGTGACACCACCCCGTTCACATGCAGGTGAAAATGCGTGTGAACTGCACCAAACCCTGTTATTTCACAGGGATAATGCGTGTGAGCGGGGTTACATGCATTCATATGCTTGCGAATGACTTGCGAATGAAATGCGTGTGAAATCCACCGACCCAGAGAGCAGAGCATACACGCTGGAAATCGATGGCCCGCACGAAGTTGGCGTGCCTTTCCAGTGCCGCGGCCGCGTCTGGGGCGGTTTGTGCGTTGGGAAGGCGTGGGCACCGCCTCGAGCCTCGTCATACTGGGATTGAGCAGTTGCCAGCTGCTTTTGATTCGGAGCGGAGCTCTGCCCTGCAAGTTTCGGGGTGCGCGCAGCGCTGCTCCCAGCTCTCCGTTTATCCTCACTATACTTTCCCTGAACTCGTTCCCCGATATCCGATCTCCCCCCTTCTTCTCTTTCCCTCTCTCCGATCGCCCCCAAGATCTGGAGGTCGCTCGTGGTGGCTCACGGTGATCGCTGGGTGTCAGAGTTCAGCGGTATCGAATGGTAGTTCAACTTGTGAACCGTGATGCTGTGATTTCACGCCTTGTCTCTGAAAACGGCCTGGCGCCGCGTCAGGTTTGTTTTGAAGGGTCTCGGGGTGGCGGGAGCCTCGTCGCATATCGCTGGATCTGGGCTCGATTCGCGATTGGTCCGACCCCTCCGCCCCAGGGAGGACGCGCGGCCATTTGATTGAACCCCTCGACAATTCGAAGGGTCGGGAGGCTGAGGTTGGACGCATCCAGAGCAAGGGGCGTGGGCGATGGCGATGATGAGGAGTAGGAGGGGGGATGATGAACAACGCGGTGGAATGGATGACGATGCTGATGATGCATAAGTGGCGGTGCCATTGCAACGGGTGACGGTGAATGAGCTGCCACGTGCGTGCTCAATCGCCAGACGCCGCATTGAAACGTCAAGGGATGTTCGGGACGTTAGTTGTTCCCGACTCGCCCACCGTTGTCGCAGCGGCTCAAACGCAGGCCACAGCTTGGCTGCGCCGCCCAGCATGGCCAATCGCCAGCCCAAGGTAAGCCCCCGAGCGTGGACTGCGACCACTCAGGCCCAGCGCGATGCAGGGTCCAGCTTGCTCGACCACCTCCTCCAGCTATACGCGACTTGTCGTTTGACAGCAAAGGACTTCTGTCTCTTGTGTCATTACGCTGCAGAGGCCAACGTGCCTGGGGGGGCCTTCTCCCTGTACGGCGTGCGGCCAGGACAGACCACTGACGGCAACTACCAGAAACATCTCGATGTTGTGTTGCCCAAATCCGATGCCATGTTCATCGGCGTTCCCACGCCAGTAGTAGATGCGCGGTATGGGCGGCACCAACGCAGCTACCCCGTCAGACTCGCGTGGGATTCCCTGCAGGCCGAGTTGTCGCAAGACCCTGCAATGGCTAGATCACTCCGTCCAGACGCTCCAGTGGGGCCCGACAGTATAATGAACGTGCCAGCCTACGCCCAACATCCAAAAGTTGTAAATATGTCAATGCGCGAGATGGCCCGTCCAGTCCCCATCGCGCTCTACTTGGACGGCGTTGCCTACCAATCCCAGGCTGCAGGGCGCAATGATAGCGTACTCGGGCTCTGGACGATAAACTTGCTCTCAGGTCGCCGTCACTTCATGGCTGCCATCAAAAACAGAGACTACTTCACTTGCGGCTGTCGTGGAATTTGCTCTCTGTATCCTTTGTTCCACCACATGCGGTGGCAGTGCCTAGCCCTCCACGACGGCATCCGTCCGACCGAGCGATCCGATGGGCGCCCGCTGCCAGATCAGTTTCGGCCAGGTGAGGCCATGCCGTTTTCTGCTGTAGTGGTTTATATAAAGGGCGACTGGGGTGAACACGCTCACTCGCTGGGCTTGGCTGGGTGGTCTACCAAATGGTCGCCGTGCCAATTCTGCTCGGCGACAAGTGAGGAGCGACACACGTTTAACTGTGAATTGGCATCAGCTCAGCCGTCATGGCCTCTGCGCAGCCACGACGAATATGATGAGAGTTGTAGGGCATGCGAGATTGTCGTGCTGTCACAGCTGAGCACAAGACGGCTCTCTTGAGATCACTGAAGTGGTCGCAGCCGCCGAAGAAGATCGGCGGTCGATTGATATTCGCCGATGCGGTGATAAACGGGGTAAGGCTGGGCGTCGGTGACAGGCTAGCGCCGTCTCCTCAGCTGCTCGACATCGCGAAGCTCGAGGAGCTAGATGTGCCCACACGCGTGATTTTCTGGCGCGCCACCTTGGACGGCGACAGCCCCCCCAAGGTCATGGGCCCGGTGAGCTACAGATGCCCCTTCTTTGACCGCGACCTCCGCGCATCTCCCGCCATGAGCCTGGCTGTGGACAGTCTCCACACAGTCTCCTTGGGCGTGGGCATGCGGTGGCTCTCCGCAGTTATGTGGCGCGTTCTATCCCGAAATCCGTGGAGGATGGGGGGGTCGTCGGCCGAGCAGATCCTGATATCAGGTGTCGGGGTGCTGAACGCGGAGCTGGGGCGCTGGCAGACCGATCCTGCGAATGCTGTGCCGCAAGAACGTCGCCTCGGGCATCTCACGCTACGTATGCTTGGAAAACGTCGTGGATGCAGCCACCAGGACTGTTGTTTAGTGTGCATCTTCTTTGTGCGGCGACGATGCATTGCCGATTGTAACGATGTGCGCGCGTGCAATCGGCAGCGTGCCAACAACGATGACTCGAATGACGATGGTCGGGGTGATGATGATGACGGATAAAACAACGAGAAGGAGGAGCAAGGTGATGAGGGGCGGGGCGAGGATTAAGGAGGATCGAGGAGCAGATTGATTTCGGAAATGAGATGGCAGGTTGCCCGCCGTGCCATTCTGCCGACCTGGTCAGGGGCGCTCTGGGGATCGGGGCCTCCCGAGATCGTCCCGTCGCAAGTAGTGGCGCGGACGCAGCATCGCGCGAGCTCGAGCGGGGCCGTGCCGAATCCACGCCTGAAGTCCCGATGCCTTGTATTCCATTCCCCGACAGCGCTTGCACCGCGCGCGCGGCCTCGGGTGGCTGTCGCGCATCACTTTCGGGGTGTGCTCGCGTCAGCGCGCCCTCCAACCAGTAACTGTCAATGTGGGGGGGGGGTTAAGCGCCCAACCAATTTCACATGCAATTTCGTTTGCAAATGAAATTGCATGTGAACTCGTGCCCAACCAATTTCACATGCAATTTCGTTTGCAAATGAAATTGCATGTGAACTCGCTGTGGCCCACGGCTCCGCGGGGCCCCATTGCCTCGTCTTTCTTGCTTCCACGACATATGTCGCATCGATCAATTGTTTGGGATCCACTCGCTGACAACGTGCCCCTGCTCCGACCGTGCGTGCAACAAGCCGCCTGAAGAAACGCATTGAGGGGCGCTGCCATGGGGTGAACGCCGCGTGGGGGAGGTGACGAGGGCACATCATGGATATGCGTTGGCATAGCCATCATTTCGTTCCCTTCCATCCCACCTCGCCCATTCTCGCCCGCAGCTCGACTCCTGTGCTCCCAGCCCCGCCGTTCGCTGTCTCTGCATGGGGTGTGCATATAACGTGCAGCATCTGCCAGAAGCCCGACCACCCTGGCGCACACATGTCCCTGAAGGCGGCCGAAGTGAACGTGATGCTTAAGTTTGGTTTCCATTTATTGTTGAGGCACGGGGGGGTGGTCGTGTTCGGCGATGCAATCGCGGGGGCGGGGCACGCCCTTCTGACCCTCCTCGCGGAGATGGCCGCGCACAAGGTTCTGCCGACAGATGAGGGGATGACTAAACTTCGAGTCGCCCTGGATTCGCATCTTCTTTGCTGCCAAGCAGCGGGCATTACCCTTACCCCCAAATACCACCTGATGGCGCACATGATCCACAGGAGCGGGGCCCCCAACCCAATCCCTACCATTGCCTTCCCGTTAACCTCTCTCTTTTCTCCCCAAACTTCCACTTCCGCCTCCTCCACCGCCATCGCCAGCCCCTCCGACCCTGATCCGAACCCTCGGTGATCTGGCGGGGTCGGCGCCGACCTCCTGGTCCTTCAGCGGGGCGCGGGGTGATCTGCATTTCGAGTCGGGCCCCCCGCCTGGGCGGGCATGGGGGAGCTGGCAGGTGGGGGCGAAGACCGAGATAGAGAGCGAGAGAGAGAGAGAGAGAGAGAGAGAGAGAGAGAGAGAGAGAGAGAGAGAGAGAGAGAGAGAGAGAGAGAGAGAGCGCGATGGGGGGGTGGAGCGAGGGGACTCTATACACACATACAAATACGCACATACGTACAATACTATATATATACACATATCGAGAGGCATATAGAGTTGCGGGGGGGGGGGGTAAGGCAACGGGGGATGTGCTGAGCAGGATCTGGAGGTCGAGCGCCGTTGATGGTAGATAGCTTTCGATGTAGGGGCGGGGGGCGGCACGTGGGCAGCGGACTTCCTTTTGAGGCGCCCCCTACTAGTTCAGGATCCCTTGGCACGGTGTTCCCAAATTGTATGCCACGTATACGGACGAGAGCCTCAACCGAAATTTGAGGTCGATCGCCATGTTCTGCCATCGATTGACATTTGGTTCCAGGGTCCACAAGCTGATTGATCTCCAATCGTACTTTTCCGCTGGGAAGTACATTTCAGCTCCAGCTGGTGGCAAACAATCACTGTTATCAGGTGTCGGTCGATAGTGCCCCTTGGGCGGCAATGGGGGCGC